TCGACATTCTGCGTGCTGTAGCGACTAAAAAACACGGCAACAAAGACACAAAGACACATGTCTCTTGTCTCTTTCATTTTTGACATATTTTGAACCAAAAGGGCAAACTGCGGCAAACTCTTTAAGCAGCATTCAGCTTGAGCTCTCAAGCACTGCTCTCCTCTGACATCAGCTTGTCGCTGACCTCTTGCGAGTCAGCGGGCTCCTGGGTGCATCAAATTCAAATGTCCCGAAACGTGTGAAAAAAGGTAGATCGAGAGGCCGTGCATATACACATACACACATATGCGCATATATATATATATATATAAATAAAAAAATCGAAGGAAGTTTAGAATTCAAACTTCCGACAATATGGACAGATGAAAAGCAGAGCAGGGAAGAGGCAGAGAGAAGAGGAAGATTAGAAGAAAGAAGAGTAGAAGAGAAAGAGCAAGAAGAAAGAAGATGCAGATGCTTGAAAAGGTAGGAAAGTCGCGAAACACCACGTTTTTCCAATGATTTGGGGCTCCGGAGGGTCGAAAAGTAGGCTCACTAAAGCGGCGGGTGCGGAGCCAGCTGGCCAGATGAGAGATGAAAAATTGCACGCCGTTGTGGCGCGAAGCACATTTCCAAGTCAAAATGTACAAAACACACCATTGTCGGACCACTTTTGAAAGTTGAGATGTCGAAAAAGTGCACGCCGTTGTGGCGCGAAGCACATTTCGAAGTGAAAATGTACAAAACACCTCAGTGTCGGACGACTTTTGGAAGTTGAGATGTCCAAAAAGTGCACGCCGTTGTGGCGCGAAGCACATTTCGAAGTCAAAATGTTAAAAACACCAGGGGTTCGGACCACTTTTGGAGGTTCGGATGTCGAAAAAGTGCACGCCGTTGTGGCGCGAAGCACATTTCGAAGTCAAAATGTTAAAAGCACCAGGGGTTCGGACCACTTTTGGAGGTTCAGATGTCGCTTCGCTTCACTACACTACAGGACATTACACTACACTACACTCCAGTACACTACATTGCACTACACTACACTCCAGTACACTCCACTACACTAAATTACATTACACCACACTACATTACACCACACTACATAACACTGAATGACACTGCACCACAGATAGACAGGTAGACAGATAGATAGATAGATAGATAGACAGATAGACAGCTAGACAGCTAGACAGATAGACAGATGAAAGGGAGAGATAGATAGATAGGTAGATAGATAGATAGGTAGGTAATTAGATGGAAGAGAGAGGCCAGCTGGGTAGATGAGATAGATATATAGATGGCTAGACAGATAGATAGATAGATCGATAGATACATAGATCGTTACATGGAGAGATAGATAGATACATAGAGAGATAGATAGATAGATAGATAGATAGATAGGTAGATAGATAGATAGGGAGGTAGATAGATAGATAGATAGATGGATGAATAGAAAGATCGATCGATAGATAGATAGATAGATAGGTTCCTAGACAGATAGATAGATGGAGAGACAGCTTTGAGCGATAGATAGATGGAGAGATAGAGAGATAGAAAGATATATAGATAGATAGATAGATAGATAGATAGATAGATAGTTAGATAGATAGATAGATTGATCGATAGGTAGATAGGTAGATAGGAAGACAGATAGACAGATAGACAGGTAGACAGTTAGACAGATAGACAGATGATAGATAGATAGATAGATAGATAGATAGATAGATAGATAGATAGTTAGATAGATAGATAGATAGATACATTGATTGATGGCTAGATAGATTTTTAGATAAAAAGCTAGATAGATAGATATATAGATAGACAGATAGATAGATAGACAGATAGATAGACAGATAGATAGATAGATAGGTAGATAGATAGATAGATAGATGGCTAGATAGATAGATAGATAGATAGAAAGATAAGTAGATAGAAAGACAGATAGACAGGTAGACAGTTAGACAGATAGACAGATGATAGATAGATAGATAGATAGATAGATAGATAGATAGATAGATAGATAGATAGATAGATAGATAGATAGATAGATAGATAGATAGATAGATA